GTGCATTTACAAAGGTGAAATGTAATCCTGATCAGCTTCCATATGTACTTTATACACATACATATACACACACACACATATATATGTACATATACATATATACACACACATGCATTCACATACATTTGTCTCTTTTACTCTGACAGGGTGAGATAGCTGACAGAGAAACTAGTGTGCAATTAAGCACTTAATCACTGAAGGTGATTAAGGTGCTTTTACAAGCTCAGGTTATATAGTCACATCACATACATACATTGTATAATTGATACATAACATGGTTAATCTTAGGTACAAGTCCAATATATCATCAAGTGTTCCAGTACTCAGATAGTAATTACACAGTTCAGCATACCTTAGCCCAGGAGGGCGAAAGTCAGTCAGTATGGGACATTCTACAATATAATGTTCAAGAGAGTGCATGTTTTCTCTTTCACAAAGTTGACACATTGTGTACTCGACATTTGGGTTTTGAGAAAGCTGCCAGATACGTCTATATCCCAGGCGTATTCTGGTCACTATAACATCACATTGCCGGGTTCTTGTTCTATTAGTTCCATATGTGAATGTCTCCTCACGATATCTATCATAATATTTAATGCTACAACTTTCAGGTCTTTGTGAATTTGTTAGGTCGGTGAGATTTTCATTAGATATTTGTTTAAGTATTCTCTTTGTCACTGCTAATGAAACACCCATATCAATTTCTACCACTGGTTTTCTACAAGCTGTCTTTGCAAGCATATCAACAGTGTCATGCCTTGAGATGCCAACATGTGATGGTATCCATAGGAATTTAACTTCAAATCTGTTTTCTTTAGCAGCTAAAACATTCATTCGAATATCACTGACTATTTTCTGGGTGTCACTACTATGTGCGTTCAATGCCAGGAGTGCACTCTGCGAGTCACAGTATATAAGTCCACTGCCTTTGTCTTTTAACAATTCAGTGGCAAGGTATATGCCTGAAAGTTCGGTTTGAGTTGTACTTGCCCAGTCATTGACGCGCTTCATTGCTGTATGTACGAGAGAAGATTGTTCAAATATGTTACATGCACATCCGGTACATCGTCCACCTTCTTCTACAGAGCCGTCGGTATAGCACTGATACACATCGTTACCCATACTCTGAGTACTTTCAGTGATGCTTTTCAGTGTTAACTGTTTTTATAATGTGGAGTGCACACTATCTTTCTTGGGCGCATTTACAAAATCAACTGATAGATCCCAGTTATCCCATGGAGTAATTGGTTGATTAATCATTAATTGAGTTTGGTACATATTTAATATTTTGATGGAGTTGGCTGCCTTGTAGAACCAAAATACATAATCAGATTTCGTTCTTCTTCTACAAACCTCAGGTGAGTGCAGCATATTAGAAAGTTTAGCTTGAAACTTCATGTGTTGCCGAGATCTACTCAATGCCTTCACACCGAAAACTGTGCTAATAGACAATGTGTGTGTGTGTATGTGGGGTGGGGATAGGTGCCACGGAGGGAGGCAGACTTTGGCAAGTTATGATAGTTGGTTATGCGCCATTGGTCGCCGTGGCAAGGAAGAGGTCAGTGTTGCCCAACACTTCGGTGAAAGCTCTCATGTCTTTCTTTACAGTCGTGTTGGACGCCTGGCCGGTAATGCACAGGTTGGCGTCGTGCTGGGAATGCTAAGCTGATGTTTCCCGCTTTGGAAAGTGAATTACTGATGAGTCTGAGGGAGTGGCGATGGTCTTATGGTGGCTATGGCTGTGAGGGTCCCCTGGGAGTGCCTCTATGGCTGTGAGGGTCCCCTGGGGGTGTCTCTATGGCTGTGAGGGTCTCCTGGGGGTGTCTCTATGGCTGTGAGGGTCTCCTGGGGGTGCCTCTATGGCTGTGAGGGTCTCCTGGGGGTGCCTCTATGGCTGTGAGGGTCCCCTGGAGGTGCCTCTATGGCTGTGAGGGTCCCCTGGAGGTGCCTCTATGGCTGTGAGGGTCTCCTGGGGGTGCCTCTATGGCTGTGAGGGTCCCCTGGGAGTGCCTCTATGGCTGTGAGGGTCCCCTGCGGGTGTCTCTATGGCTGTGAGGGCCCCCTGGAGGTGCCTCTATGGCTGTGAGGGTCCCCTGGGAGTGCCCCCTCGGCGGCTGGTCTCATCATGGACACTCACACATGCCCCATCTACTCACCCGGGGGCCTCTTGTCTCATACTCTCACCGTACTCTAGTGTTGACCAAACCACACACTAGAAATCGAAGAGACGACGTTTCGGTCCGTTCTGGTCCATTATCAAGTCGATTGTGGCGGGAATTGTCCAGGAAGGACCGAAACGTCGTCTCTTCACTTTCTAGTGTGTGGTTTGGTCAACATTTTTCAATCACGTTATTGTGACTATTCATCTGCAATAGTCTGTTCATTATCCTCGGTGATATATACGCGCCCGTGCCCCCAGTCAGCTCCATGGGCGTACCTCCGTGACTACCATAATACAAGCAAAAGTTTGTATCCCCCAAATTGTACGTATTGTAGTTAGCATGTGTTTTCCTGCTCCCAGAGCCGTGCCGCTCTGCCTTGTCCAGGGAGGTGTTGACGTGCCCGGTGGCCGCCAGTTGACGTGCCTGGTGGCCGCCAGTTGACGTGCCTGGTGGCCGCCAGTTGACGTGCCCGGTGGCCGCCAGTTGACGTGCCCGGTGGCCGCCAGTTGACGTGCCCGGTGGCCGCCAGTTGACGTGCCTGGTGGCCGCCAGTTGACGTGCCTGGTGGCCGCCAGTTGACGTGCCTGGTGGCCGCCAGTTGACGTGCCTGGTGGCCGCCAGTTGACGTGCCCGGTGGCCGCCAGTTGACGTGCCCGGTGGCCGCCAGTTGACGTGCCCGGTGGCCGCCAGTTGACGTGCCCGGTGGCCGCCAGTTGACGTGCCCGGTGGCCGCCAGTTGACGTGCCCGGTGGCCGCCAGTTGACGTGCCCGGTGGCCGCCAGTTGACGTGCCCGGTGGCCGCCAGTTGACGTGCCCGGTGGCCGCCAGTTGACGTGCCCGGTGGCCGCCAGTTGACGTGCCCGGTGGCCGCCAGTTGACGTGCCCGGTGGCCGCCAGTTGACGTGCCCGGTGGCCGCCAGTTGACGTGCCCGGTGGCCGCCAGTTGACGTGCCCGGTGGCCGCCAGTTGACGTGCCCGGTGGCCGCCAGTTGACGTGCCCGGTGGCCGCCAGTTGACGTGCCCGGTGGCCGCCAGTTGACGTGCCCGGTGGCCGCCAGTTGACGTGCCCGGTGGCCGCCAGATGACGTGCCCGGTGGCCGCCAGTTGACGTGCCCGGTGGCCGCCAGTTGACGTGCCCGGTGGCCGCCAGTTGACGTGCCCGGTGGCCGCCAGTTGACGTGCCTGGTGGCCGCCAGTTGACGTGCCTGGTGGCCGCCAGTTGACGTGCCTGGTGGCCGCCAGTTGACGTGCCTGGTGGCCGCCAGTTGACGTGCCTGGTGGCCGCCAGTTGACGTGCCTGGTGGCCGCCAGTTGACGTGCCTGGTGGCCGCCAGTTGACGTGCCTGGTGGCCGCCAGTTGACGTGCCTGGTGGCCGCCAGTTGACGTGCCTGGTGGCCGCCAGTTGACGTGCCAGGTGGCCGCCAGTTGACGTGCCCGGTGGCCGCCAGTTGACGTGCCCGGTGGCCGCCAGTTGACGTGCCCGGTGGCCGCCAGTTGACGTGCCCGGTGGCCGCCAGTTGACGTGCCCGGTGGCCGCCAGTTGACGTGCCCGGTGGCCGCCAGTTGACGTGCCCGGTGGCCGCCAGTTGACGTGCCCGGTGGCCGCCAGTTGACGTGCCCGGTGGCCGCCAGTTGACGTGCCCGGTGGCCGCCAGTTGACGTGCCCGGTGGCCGCCAGTTGACGTGCCCGGTGGCCGCCAGTTGACGTGCCCGGTGGCCGCCAGTTGACGTGCCCGGTGGCCGCCAGTTGACGTGCCCGGTGGCCGCCAGTTGACGTGCCCGGTGGCCGCCAGTTGACGTGCCCGGTGGCCGCCAGTTGACGTGCCCGGTGGCCGCCAGTTGACGTGCCTGGTGGCCGCCAGATGACGTGCCTGGTGGCCGCCAGTTGACGTGCCTGGTGGCCGCCAGATGACGTGCCTGGTGGCCGCCAGTTGACGTGCCTGGTGGCCGCCAGTTGACGTGCCCGGTGGCCGCCAGTTGACGTGCCCGGTGGCCGCCAGTTGACGTGCCCGGTGGCCGCCAGTTGACGTGCCCGGTGGCCGCCAGTTGACGTGCCCGGTGGCCGCCAGTTGACGTGCCCGGTGGCCGCCAGTTGACGTGCCCGGTGGCCGCCAGTTGACGTGCCCGGTGGCCGCCAGTTGACGTGCCCGGTGGCCGCCAGTTGACGTGCCCGGTGGCCGCCAGTTGACGTGCCCGGTGGCCGCCAGTTGACGTGCCCGGTGGCCGCCAGTTTATGTGCCTGGTGGCCGCCAGTTGACGTGCCTGGTGGCCGCCAGTTGACGTGCCTGGTGGCCGCCAGTCACGGCGTGACATCAGCCGGGCAGCCATTGTTCTCCCCCGACGTCTGGTTCTCGTCAACTGTTGTGGCCAGCGGGAGGCTGGCTGACAGAGGATACGCTGTGACTGGGGTTGACTGGCTTAGCAGTGTTTGCTAATACAAGGGGGTAAGTGCCTGGAATATTAGGGGAGGGCTGGATGGTCCATCATAAAAGACACTAACATACAAGGGGCTGCGGGCCGGACGCACCCCCTCCGCCAGCTTTACCACTGGCCTGTAAATGATCTTGGTTCGACCCTCTCGACCCTTCTACCAGTCACGCCATTGACGCGACTCTTGTAAATCCTTATGTAGAATGTTTCGACCTGGTCCCTCTGCACTGTGCGCGCGCCCTCGGTGTTACCGGGTCGCTGCCCGGGCAACACTCCGCGTGTGGTGGGTCGTGAACTAACATTTGCATCATCTCAGCGGCTCTACAAAGTGACTGAAAGCAGACATACAGCCATTATGAGCCATGTGGCAGCCTGAGGCTGGCTGGCACGTGGCTTGTAAGTGCGCACTACGGCTGACTGGCATGTGGCTCCGGAAAGTTTGTGAGTAGCACTATGATTGCGGAAGGCTTATGGATTCGCATTATATTTGCAGAAGGCTTGTGGATGCCCAGCATACATGCAGAAGGCTTGTAGATGCCCAGTATACGTGCAGGAGGCTTGTGGATGCCCAGTATACGTGCAGGAGGCTTGTGGATGCCCAGTATACGTGCAGGAAGCTTGTGGATGCCCAGTATACGTGCAGGAGGCTTGTGGATGCCCAGAATACGTGCAGGAGGCTTGTGGATGCCCAGTATACGTGCAGGAGGCTTGTGGATGCCCAGTATACGTGCAAGAGGCTTGTGGATGCCCAGTATACGTGCAAGAGGCTTGTGGATGCCCAGTATACGTGCAGGAGGCTTGTGGATGCCCAGTATACGTGCAAGAGGCTTGTGGATGCCCAGTATACGTGCAGGGGGCTTGTTGAGGCCCAGTATACGTGCAGGAGGCTTGTGGATGCCCAGTATACGTGCAGGAGGCTTGTTGAGGCCTAGTATACGTGCAGGAGGCTTGTGGATGCCCAGTATACGTGCAGGAGGCTTGTAGAGGCCCAGTATACGTGCAGGAGGCTTGTGGATGCCCAGTATACGTGCAGGAGGCTTGTAGAGGCCCAGTATACGTGCAGGAGGCTTGTGGATGCTGTGGGAACCGACCTGTGAGATTTATATTTATTTAATTTATATGAATTTATATTTACGTTAATTTATATACTTCGATAGCAATTTGTATAATGATAAGTGGACTGTATTTCTGCAATAATCTCATAATCTCACAAATCGATCCTCTACACATTAGGGGGGGTTTATTAAATTAATATATATGCAGCCAATCAAACTACAGTAATAGCTACATACATTGATGAGGTTCCTTCTCTTATAGTACAGCAGGTTAGTCCACCAGGTATAACTAGAGTGTAGACACCAAATTATCCTCTTTGAGGTAGCTTCTATCACCCAGTAACTGGTGCACATAATCTTGCATCCTCGTCTTGACCTGTCAAAAGTGCGCTAGCTGTGAAGCCAGAATCCTATATATGACAAGCTATATCAGAGAAAACACTATACAGTACATGGAACATTAAAGACCTGGCTTAATTACCTTTAGTATGAGGCGATTTCGCGTTCTAACCGGCTAACCCTATATCCTGACATTAATGGCCATAAATGAATGATAAACGGGTTTCGGATAGACACTTAACTTGTATTTGTAGACAGCGTGTTGACAATGGTACACCTTTGGGTTCCATAACACTACGTCCAAGTAAATTTAACAGGAGCCGAATTTGCTCCCGTGTTAGCCTCTGGTCTCATATAACAATGATGGCTGCCCTCCCTCCTCCACTGACGCCTGGCTTACATTGTCCAGATTTCAGAAAGTGATAGAAGGGTCACATTTACTCTACTTTAATATTGATAATTAAGTTAATTTATATAAGATGTTTTTATGATGGTAAAGTCCAAAGACTAATGTATTTAAGAATAATTCCCACCATAATAGCTGGTGAATTATAATAGTATGTGGTGATGATATCCCGTTTTCTATAGACGGTAATTCCACTACAAGTTACGTTTTCTATGGGTAACTTGTTTATACAATACAGCTATTATCTGTATGATTATTAAATGGTGTCGGATTTTCCGACAGATGCCCAGTATACGTGCAGGAGGCTTGTTGAGGCCCAGTATACGTGCAGGAGGCTTGTGGATGCCCAGTATACGTGCAGGGGGCTTGTAGAGGCCCAGTATACGTGCAGGAGGCTTGTAGAGGCCCAGTATACGTGCAGGAGGCTTGTTGAGGCCCAGTATACGTGCAGGAGGCTTGTGGATGCCCAGTATACGTGCAGGGGGCTTGTAGAGGCCCAGTATACGTTCAGGAGGCTTGTGGATGCCCAGTATACGTGCAGGAGGCTTGTTGAGGCCCAGTATACGTGCAGGAGGCTTGTGGATGCCCATTATACGTGCAGGAGGCTTGTTGAGGCCCAGTATACGTGCAGGAGACTTGTGGATGCCCAGTATACGTGCAGGAGGCTTGTAGAGGCCCAGTATACGTGCAGGAGGCTTGTGGATGCCCAGTATACGTGCAGGAGGCTTGTGGAGGCCCAGTATACGTGCAGGAGGCTTGTGGATGCCCAGTATACGTGCAGGGGGCTTGTTGAGGCCCAGTGTACGTGCAGGAGGCTTGTGGATGCCCAGTATACGTGCAGGAGGCTTGTGGAGGCCCTAGTACTGAAGAGGATTTCCACAGCCTCATAATGTGGCATGTTGAAATCAGTGAGTCCATCCTTGAGTGCAACCAGCCGGCAAGAGTGCATAATGTACTGGAACCTATAATAATGGGGGTAGATCAAGCGTGGCTGGTGTCTTTGGGAAGCGTGACCCGCTACGAGAGTGAATATCACATAATAGCCACGGACATAGGAGAAGCACAACAGGTAGAGCCAAGGCGCGAAAGGCAGCAGTACTGGGAAGCTAGAAGCTGTGGGTTTCACACCTCAGGCGGAGGACACCTCTTTACGGTCCACAGAAAGTCGTGGCAGCGAAGTCATGACCTACATCACCAGGGTAAATACAGGCCTCTCGTCAGCCTTGAGCGTGGAAGCCTGTCAAAATGTCTACCCCTGACTGGCTTAAAGCGAGACAAAGGTATTGCCCTGGCCGCAGCCAGGAGTATGATTGACATCAGTCTATAATGATCTCAAGGCAATTGGCAATTGTTGTCTATTAGGCTAAAAAGATAATTCATCATTCCAGTAAGCTCAAACGTCAAGTTATACAAGATGGTATTTATTACTATTCATTTCGTGGACGCCCGGAGTCACGACCGTGACATTCTAAACATAACTGAATTATCAAGTAACTTAATTAAGGAGGAGTACCAAGCTACAAGCAGGTGGCTTGAGGGCGTCTGAGCCCTACAGTGTGGCCGCACGGTCATGGTTCCTCTCTCATCACTAGCAGTAGAGGCCTAGAAGAGATCGAGTCAACATCGCCCCGTGGTGAAGAGATCGAGTCAACATCGCCCCGTGGTGAAGAGATCCAGTCAACATCGCCCCGTGGTGAAGAGATCCAGTCAACATCGCCCCGTGGTGAAGAGATCCAGTCAACATCGCCCCGTGGTGAAGAGATCCAGTCAACATGGCCCCGTGGTGAAGAGATCCAGTCAACATGGCCCCGTAGTGAAGAGATCCAGTCAACATCGCCCCGTAGTGAAGAGATCGAGTCAACATCGCCCCGTAGTGAAGAGATCCAGTCAACATCGCCCCGTGGTGAAGAGATCGAGTCAACATCGCCCCGTGGTGAAGAGATCCAGTCAACATCGCCCCGTGGTGAAGAGATCCAGTCAACATCGCCCCGTGGTGAAGAGATCCAGTCAACATCGCCCCGTGGTGAAGAGATCCAGTCAACATGGCCCCGTGGTGAAGAGATCCAGTCAACATGGCCCCGTGGTGAAGAGATCCAGTCAACATGGCCCCGTAGTGAAGAGATCCAGTCAACATCGCCCCGTAGTGAAGAGATCCAGTCAACATCGCCCCGTAGTGAAGAGATCCAGTCAACATCGCCCCGTAGTGAAGAGATCCAGTCAACATCGCCCCGTAGTGAAGAGATCCAGTCAACATCGCCCCGTAGTGAAGAGATCCAGTCAACATCGCCCCGTAGTGAAGAGATCCCACGGGTCTTGTCCGCGTCTTCACCTTGATAGTCGTTGTCAAGGGAACGAAACGTGGAAGTTGCTGCAGGATCACCAAGACCACGTGTTACCCGCCAACGACTCGCTGTTACCGACCACGTGTTACCCGCCAACGACTCGCTGTTACCGACCACGTGTTACCCGCCAACGACTCGCTGTTACCAACCACGTGTTACCCGCCAACGACTCGCTGTTACCGACCACGTGTTACCCGCCAACGACTCGCTGTTACCAACCACGTGTTACCCGCCAACGACTCGCTGTTACCGACCACGTGTTACCCGCCAACGACTCGCTGTTACCAACCACATGTTACCCGCCAACGACTCGCTGTTACCAACCACGTGTTACCCGCCAACGACTCGCTGTTACCGACCACGTGTTACCCGCCAACGACTCGTTGTTACCAACCACGTGTTACCCGCCAACGACTCGCTGTTACCAACCACGTGTTACCCGCCAACGACTCGCTGTTACCGACCACGTGTTACCCGCCAACGACTCGTTGTTACCAACCACGTGTTACCCGCCAACGACTCGTTGTTACCAACCACGTGTTACCCGCCAACGACTCGCTGTTACCAACCACGTGTTACCCGCCAACGACTCGCTGTTACCAACCACGTGTTACCCGCCAACGACTCGTTGTTACCGACCACGTGTTACCCGCCAACGACTCGTTGTTACCAACCACGTGTTACCCGCCAACGACTCGTTACCAACCACGTGTTACCCGCCAACGACTCGTTACCAACCACGTGTTACCCGCCAACGACTTGCTGTTACCAACCACGTGTTACCCGCCAACGACTCGCTGTTACCAACCACGTGTTACCCGCCAACGACTCGCTGTTACCAACCACGTGTTACCCGCCAACGACTCGTTGTTATCAACCACGTGTTACCCGCCAACGACTCGTTGTTACCAACCACGTGTTACCCGCCAACGACTCGCTGTTACCAACCACGTGTTATCCGCCAACGACTTGCTGTTACCAACCACGTGTTACCCGCCAACGACTTGCTGTTACCAACCACGTGTTACCCGCCAACGACTCGCTGTTACCAACCACGTGTTACCCGCCAACGACTCGTTGTTATCAACCACGTGTTACCCGCCAACGACTCGTTGTTACCAACCACGTGTTACCCGCCAACGACTCGCTGTTACCAACCACGTGTTACCCGCCAACGACTCGCTGTTACCAACCACGTGTTACCCGCCAACGACTTGCTGTTACCAACCACGTGTTACACGCCAACGACTCGCTGTTACCGACCACGTGTTACCCGCCAACGACTCGCTGTTACCAACCACGTGTTACCCGCCAACGACTCGTTGTTACCAACCACGTGTTCATCACTCGTCTAGCGCGCGTCATCAAGGGAGAGCAGTGTTCAGCCACGTGGTGTCCCAAGAAAGACTACCACCACGTGCGACTGTGCCACAGAGACCTCCACGATCGAGTACCCGAGTACCTGAGTGAGTGTGAACGAGGGCCGGCCACTCTCAGTACACGAGTCTGTTTTACTGAGAAATTATCTTACCGCTCGTACGTTAATGTGAACCGAAAATATTTTGTTTTTCTCCTGGCCGGTGGTGCCAGCGCCTGGACAGGTGACCGCAGAGATCAGAGATAGACCAATCACAAGTTAACACGTAAGTTAGTCGTAGTAGCAGTTCGCAGTTATAAAGTGGTTATTACCCGAGTGATTAACAAACGTACTACACATTTAGCTAATTACTGATAATTGGGCGTGACTATTACTTGTCCCTTTGACGAGGTGTTGAGCGTGTGCTGTGATTGGTCGAGCGTCAGTAAGCTCCATCGCCCGGCTCCAGTACCGGCAGTGATTACACCACCAGGCCAGTTAATGATTGCTTGTCAGCGAGTGTTAAGTGAGGTTGTTGGTCCTGCCGCTAATGGGGGCCCTTTATCGGTTAGTTAGACGTCCCGTATATATGTCTCTCTAGTGCCATTTAGCTTTAAACGGCACCAATCGTGAGTAAATTCCATCACCGCAGATTATTCACTAAACCATGTCAATGTTTCCTTGCGTTTTTCGCGACGCCATTCTTAAAGGTAATAGCCACTTGCAAAGTGTTATCAAAACAATATGATCGCTCATCAAGCTTTAATCATTATACTCGTCACGTTATAAATTTGATGAGAACCCTAAGAGGATCAATAATACCTTCAGGGATGGGGGGTCACCGTTCGACTCCCGCCACCAAAGACATTATCGCTACTCTGTGGGTGGTCCTCCCTGAGAGGACGACCACCCACAGAGAAGTGCAACTTGAGAAGTGTAGACAGTGCAGCCAACCCTCCGGTAGTTGTTTGATTAGCTTAAACAAGACGTCAGTCATAATTGATTTGATGACTTAGTTTGCAATGGAAGTCAAGAAAAAGTAAGAGTTAGAACACAATATAGGTGGAGGTGGCTTGTGGTTGTCCAGTATAGGTGGAGGTGGCTTGTGGTTGTCCAGTATAGGTGGAGGTGGCTTGTGGATGTCCAGTATAGGTGGAGGTGGCTTGTGGATGTCCAGTATAGGTGCTGGTGGCTTCTGGTTGTCCAGTATAGGTGCTGGTGGCTTGTGGTTGTCCAGTATAGGTGCTGGTGGCTTGTGGATGTCCAGTATAGGTGCTGGTGGCTTGTGGTTGTCCAGTATAGGTGGAGGTGGCTTGTGGATGTCCAGTATAGGTGCTGGTGGCTTGTGGTTGTCCAGTATAGGTGCTGGTGGCTTGTGGATGTCCAGTATAGGTGCTGGTGGCTTGTGGTTGTCCAGTATAGGTGGAGGTGGCTTGTGGTTGTCCAGTATAGGTGGAGGTGGCTTGTGGATGTCCAGTATAGGTGGAGGTGGCTTGTGGATGTCCAGTATAGGTGGAGGTGGCTTGTGGATGTCCAGTATAGGTGCTGGTGGCTTGTGGTTGTCCAGTATAGGTGGAGGTGGCTTGTGGTTGTCCAGTATAGGTGGAGGTGGCTTGTGGATGTCCAGTATAGGTGGAGGTGGCTTGTGGATGTCCAGTATAGGTGGAGGTGGCTTGTGGATGTCCAGTATAGGTGCTGGTGGCTTGTGGTTGTCCAGTATAGGTGCTGGTGGCTTGTGGTTGTCCAGTATAGGTGCTGGTGGCTTGTGGTTGTCCAGTATAGGTGGAGGTGGCTTGTAGATGTCCAGTATAGGTGGAGGTGGCTTGTGGATGTCCAGTATAGGTGGAGGTGGCTTGTGTATGTCCAGTATAGGTGGAGGTGGCTTGTGGATGTCCAGTATAGGTGCTGGTGGCTTGTGGTTGTCCAGTATAGGTGCTGGTGGCTTGTGGTTGTCCAGTATAGGTGCTGGTGGCTTGTGGTTGTCCAGTATAGGTGGAGGTGGCTTGTGGATGTCCAGTATAGGTGGAGGTGGCTTGTGGATGTCCAGTATAGGTGCTGGTGGCTTGTGGTTGTCCAGTATAGGTGCTGGTGGCTTGTGGTTGTCCAGTATAGGTGCTGGTGGCTTGTGGATGTCCAGTATAGGTGCTGGTGGCTTGTGGTTGTCCAGTATAGGTGCTGGTGGCTTGTGGTTGTCCAGTATAGGTGCTGGTGGCTTGTGGATGTCCAGTATAGGTGGAGGTGGCTTGTGGATGTCCAGTATAGGTGGAGGTGGCTTGTGGATGTCCAGTATAGGTGCTGGTGGCTTGTGGTTGTCCAGTATAGGTGCTGGTGGCTTGTGGTTCTCCAGTATAGGTGCTGGTGGCTTGTGGTTGTCCAGTATAGGTGGAGGTGGCTTGTGGATGTCCAGTATAGGTGTAGGTGGCTTGTGGTTGTCCAGTATAGGTGGAGGTGGCTTGTGGTTGTCCAGTATAAGTGGAGGTGGTTTGTGGTTGTCCAGTATAGGTGCTGGTGGCTTGTGGTTGTCCAGTATAGGTGGAGGTGGCTTGTGGATGTCCAGTATAGGTGCTGGTGGCTTGTGGATGTCCAGTATAGGTGGAGGTGGCTTGTGGTTGTCCAGTATAAGTGGAGGTGGCTTGTGGTTGTCCAGTATAGGTGCTGGTGGCTTGTGGTTGTCCAGTATAGGTGCTGGTGGCTTGTGGTTGTCCAGTATAGGTGGAGGTGGCTTGTGGTTGTCCAGTATAGGTGGAGGTGGCTTGTGGTTGTCCAGTATAGGTGGAGGTGGCTTGTGGATGTCCAGTATAGGTGGAGGTGGCTTGTGGTTGTCCAGTATAGGTGGAGGTGGCTTGTGGATGTCCAGTATAGGTGGAGGTGGCTTGTGGTTGTCCAGTATAGGTGCTGGTGGCTTGTGGTTGTCCAGTATAGGTGGAGGTGGCTTGTGGATGTCCAGTATAGGTGCTGGTGGCTTGTGGTTGTCCAGTATAGGTGCTGGTGGCTTGTGGTTGTCCAGTATAGGTGCTGGTGGCTTGTGGTTGTCCAGTATAGGTGGAGGTGGCTTGTGGATGTCCAGTATAGGTGTAGGTGGCTTGTGGTTGTCCAGTATAGGTGGAGGTGGCTTGTGGTTGTCCAGTATAAGTGGAGGTGGCTTGTGGTTGTCCAGTATAGGTGCTGGTGGCTTGTGGTTGTCCAGTATAGGTGGAGGTGGCTTGTGGATGTCCAGTATAGGTGCTGGTGGCTTGTGGATGTCCAGTATAGGTGGAGGTGGCTTGTGGTTGTCCAGTATAAGTGGAGGTGGCTTGTGGTTGTCCAGTATAGGTGCTGGTGGCTTGTGGTTGTCCAGTATAGGTGCTGGTGGCTTGTGGTTGTCCAGTATAGGTGGAGGTGGCTTGTGGTTGTCCAGTATAGGTGGAGGTGGCTTGTGGCTGTCCAGTATAGGTGGAGGTGGCTTGTGGATGTCCAGTATAGGTGGAGGTGGCTTGTGGTTGTCCAGTATAGGTGGAGGTGGCTTGTGGATGTCCAGTATAGGTGGAGGTGGCTTGTGGTTGTCCAGTATAGGTGCTGGTGGCTTGTGGTTGTCCAGTATAGGTGCTGGTGGCTTGTGGTTGTCCAGTATAGGTGGAGGTGGCTTGTGGTTGTCC